GAAAAAAACCAAAAATTCCCAAACTTTTTCCCCACAGGTTACCAAAAGTAGCCAATTTGATTATCAAGTTTAACAGTGACTGCAGATGATCCTAATGCAAGATGAAACTCAATTGTTGAGAATCGTTGTTATTAGCAGTTACATAGCGACAAGGAAAAGTGCTTTGCTCACTTTCGGATTTAGAAGGGATAACATATTTCGACTCTTTATCAACATCCAAATCAAAAATGTGTTAACGATCTTGATCACACAATGAAAGTGTGTTGATAACGAATGAATCGCTTGTGTCTGCAGATATGTCTACATGGGTATTTGCGAATCCCTTTGGATAGTTAATCGACTAATAAAGGTACATCATCTGTTAAAGAAGCATTTCATGGGCCTCGTCTGATAAGAAGATGAAATGAAGTTGCTTTATTCATCGGAACAAGGTATTTTTGGTTTTCAAGTTGATAAAAAATAATTTATGAGTATTAAGAGTTACTTTACCGCCGGTGGGCTCAGTTCGTGGATTGAAAAATGGTAAAAAAATAAATGTTACTTTCATTTGAATCTCGGAAATTGGCATAGCCTTGCCATGAGAATCCAGAATCAAAGATTGTAGGTTGATGGATTTTTTGCTTATAAATTATAATTTACAATGACTAGAGCTAATCAATGACCTAAATTATTAATCGAACCGGCTCGATTAAACAGAGAAGGGTAACCCCAAAGGGTTTAAAGCACGTTGTTTTATCATTCAACTTTTAAAACGATGAGCACAAGAGTCACAAATGCCAATTACTCTATTTGCAGGGCATTGCAACCAGTGCCTATTCATTTTCATATCTCAAGAACAGTTGTACAAGACAGTCTTCATATTCGAAATATGGTATATTTATTATTGAAATATTGCTAATTTCAAGTTTCAAGGCTATTCGCTACAAAAAAATTCTGTATTTGACACACCTTTTACAATATCATATTTTCCAAGGCTGAATATCAACACAATGGTTAGATAAGAATATCAGGTAGATATTATTCTCATTTTTACTTTCATAAGAATATTTAATATTGCTGTTTACATTTCATATTTGCTTACACTGAAATGAAAATAGAAAGCAACATATTAATTTTCTTGTCGAGGTTGCCGTTTTAGTAAATTTTCATTTCATAAGAAGGCAAGAACTTACCAACTCTTTTATATATCGAACCCTGGACACTTTAATCGACCGCGCTGGTGCCGGAGCACTGGATTCTTGATGCGACAGTGCACCCCTGGACTCGTAACGAGACCACTCTGGTATCGGACTTCGGGACTTCTGACGTGACCGTTCCAGTATCGGACCCCTGGACCGTTGACACGACAGTGCAGGCTTCAGACCCTTGGACCCTTGATGAGACCGCTCAGGCTTCGGACCTTTGGCCCGTTGACACGACAGTGCAGGCTTCGGACCCTTGGACCCTTGATGAGATCGCTCAGGCTTCGGGCCCTTGTACTCTTGACGAATCCGCTCGGGCTTCGGACCCCTGGACACTTGATGAGACCGCTCAGGCTTCGGGCCCCTGTACTCTTGAAGCGACAGCTCTGGTATCGGAGATTGGGACTTCTGACGTGACCATTCCAGTATCGGATGTGTCTGCAGATATGTCTACATGGGTATTTGCGAATCCCTTTGGATAGTTAATCGACTAATAAAGGTACATCATCTGTTTGATGAGACCGCTCAGGCTTCGCGCCCTTGTACTCTTGACGAGTCCGCTCGGGCATCGGACCCCTGTACTCTTGCAGCGACAGCTCTGGTATTGGAGATTGGGACTGCTGACGAGACCGCTTTGGTACCGGACACCTGGACCGTTGACACAACAGTGCAGGCTTCGGACCCTTGGACCCTTGATGAGACAGTTCAGGCTTGGGACCTTTGGCCCGTTGACACGACAGTGCAGGCTTCGGAACCCCGGACCCTTGATGAGACCGCTCAGGCTTCGGACCCTTGGACCCTTGATGAGACAGTTCAGGCTTCGGACCCTTGTACTCTTGATGAGACAGTTCAGGCTTCGGACCTTTGGCCCGTTGACACGACAGTGCAGGCTTCGGAGCCTTGGACCCTTGATGAGACCGCTCAGGCTTCGGGCCCTTGTACTCTTGATGAGACAGTTCAGGCTTCGGACCTTTGGCCCGTTGACACGACAGTGCAGGCTTCGGAACCCCGGACCCTTGATGAGACCGCTCAGGCTTCGGACCCTTGGACCCTTGATGAGACAGTTCAGGCTTCGGACCCTTGTACTCTTGATGAGACAGTTCAGGCTTCGGAGCTTTGGCCCGTTGACACGACAGTGCAGGCTTCGGAGCCTTGGACCCTTGATGAGACCGCTCAGGCTTCGGGCCCTTGTACTCTTGATGAGACAGTTCAGGCTTCGGACCTTTGGCCCGTTGACACGACAGTGCAGGCTTCGGAGCCTTGGACCCTTGATGAGACCGCTCAGGCTTCGGGCCCTTGTACTCTTGACGAATCCGCTCGGGCTTCGGACCCCTGGACCCTTGATGAGACCGCTCAGGCTTCGGACCCTTGTACTCTGCACGAGTCCGCTCGGGCTTCGGAGATTGGGACTTCTGACGTGACCGTTCCAGTATCGGATTCCTGGACCGTTGACACGACAGTTCAGGCTTCGGATCTTTGGACTTTTGAGGCGACAGTGCAGGCTTCGGACCCTGTGACTCTTGATGAGACCGCTCTGGTTTCCTACCTTGTGACAGCTGATTTAGTAATTTGTGGTTTGGTTCACTGGCAGAAGAGGGCGTTCCAGTAGTCTCCACATCTATAGTGATTTTGAATGAGGATGATGATGAATTATGATGAGGTGACCGACCATGTTCGCTTGATCTTGAGGTCTGATTGTCAGTGGATGAAACATATATTTTCACTATATTGTTGTTACCGGGTATAACTATGTTGAAATTGTTTCCACTATGAAGTTGGAAAAATCCTGGAACACCAAAGAAAAAAGGAGACATGTACGAATTTTTGAAAACAAACGGGACGTGGGTAACTTACCTAGATCGGTATTAGACATCGTGAATAAAGAAAAATATTAGTTATCCAAATTCAATAATAAAGCAAAAAATCTGATGAAGAATTATGTTGACCAAGAAAATTGATGCAAAAGACAAAGAAAATAGAATGCCAACCCGAAAAGAAATGAGACAAAATGAGTGGTCTGAAATACGAGACATGGTTTATATAGCGAGTGAGAACATTCTTGGCCTAAGGGCGGAGATTAGAAAGAAGAAGATAAAGAAAACAAAAATTTGGAGTCTGGATAGTGAAGCCGACACAGGACATAAACTGTAACTTCAACATATTTTTAACAGTAAAACTTTGTTAAGCAATTAGAGTTTCTAGGAATTGCTAATGTTGTTTTTCCTGGAAAAGGCCGATTGCTTAGACTCCACCTCACAGTGTTCCTATTTAAGGTCCAGCGATAGTCCGCACTTGGCAGTGAAACTCTTAACAAAGAAAACTCAATTCAATCATCAATCCAATTTAATCAATTCGCTGCAATAGTATTAACTAACAATTAGCTCACTCATTATCAACCTTAGATTTAATTTAAAAATTAATCTGATTGGATCTAAATTTATATGTCCATGTTGCCTTTCCTTAGTGCAAAATGCGCAACATTATGTGTTTGATTGGTGAAATCGCTTTTCAGTTAAATCATTGATCATCTCGATTACTAGCTTTGAACCATGAGAATTGTCTTGAAAATTTGTTTAACTCAACGGATCGTTTGATCAATAGATGGCAACATGTACATGATGTTTCAGTTGTTCAGGTTAACGCATGATTTTGATTGAAAACCGGCGATTAAAGATGAAAAATAGTTTTGTATAGTTCATTTGAGTGAAGATAAATGTTCAATGCTTCACAAAATTTTGTTTCAATGGACTTAGACAGTGTGGGCTGATTGAATATAAATTGTTTAATCAAATTTCACTCAGTCAATCCTTTCAATCGAGTTAATCAATCGTCAACACAAACAGACAAGAACAAACATTTTGTACGCAACAATCAGAACAAAAATTGTTCAAATTCAATGTCGACTTGAAAGATTGTTTAAAGAAAAGGTTCAATAAATTACTCGAAATCACCATGAAATCTGAATTGGATCTTGAAGATTTAAAAGAACGATATATTCGACGTTTACAACATTCGTTACTTCGTTCTTTTCTCTTCATCGTTATCATTTACGGAATAATTTACTTTCTCAATACACTCATCTTATCCAAACAAGTAAGTCCAACTGTTTTGATAGCAATTTTACGAATTTCAATCAATCATGTAATTGCACCGAATTGAATAATTGATGAATGAAAACAAGGTGGAAAAGCAAATGAAGACGAAATTTGCAGAATAAAAGATGAAGAGTTTTATCAATTATTCAAACCATTTACATGACATTTAAGTTGACTTACGAATTTATAACCCAAATCCCAAAAGTTTAATCAAATTAAGTAATTTTGTGTTTACATGGACTAATCATTATCATGATCATCTTCATTTTCAGGATTTATTTGATCATCACATAAAATCAATCACAGTTTTGATTGCTCTTGTTTCCCTTGTGGCCATCTACATAATAATATTTCCTCAAGAGATTCAATCCAGATTTGCTCAATGCATGATAACCCTTACCTCTTGGATATTTGCTACATTAATTATCACGGATACACTTGACTATGGATTAAATCGTGATCTAACCTCAACCCTGGCAGCCTTTTTTGCCATCTTTAGTTCACAAACAATGTTACCCTTTTCCCTGAGAAGTTCAATATTCTGTGGAATACTTGTCATTCTCTGTCAATCACTTCTGGATATATTTGTTTTTATCGAGATTTTCAAATGGAGAAAGGTAAGTTGACTAAAGAAACAAAAAAATTACTTTTAAAACAAATCCATTGAAATAGATCCAAACCAAAATTGCCTTTTCTCGATTATTAAGATTGACTTGATTGTTTAGCGTTTTGAATCCTCTGGCTAAAACTGAATTAGTTTTTTTTCACCTAAAAGGCCATTTATTGCAAGTTAACGAACACTTTTCTCACAATTTTGAGACATTTCTCAAGTTGAATTTGATTGAGCAAAACAAAGCCTAAACCAGTAACTTCAAATTTGGTTTACTTCTAAAACTGAAAATCTTTTATTTTCTAGAAATATGATATTCTCCTCAGGTCATTTCATGAGAAATTTTTATCTTTTAACTTTAGGATTGAGCACAGAGTTGGTGTGTCATTTTTGTGGTCAATTTGACCAGAAAAGATCGCAAAGATTTTCAATGAAAGAGTAAATTGTTGAGAAAAAATGACAACTTTGCCAGTTTTATTGCATTGAAGGTAAACCAATCGAGTAAACTTTTACTGGGTTTGAATGGGAACAAAGAGAGTTATTTAGTGAATATTTATTCAGAGATGATTGCTGATAATTTACCATTTTAATATGGATTGATGAAAATAATGAGAGTTGTGAATTGACGAAAATAATCAAAGTGAATCACTAAATTGATATAACAAATAAATCTGGAAAAGCGCTTCAAGGCATAATATTTTACTTAATCGAGTTCCTTTTGTAAAGCAAGTAAAAGGTAGAAAAGCAATTATCAGCTGAGACGAGATGAAAATGATTTAATAACCATTCCAATTTGAGTCTCTATTGATGTTGACAAAACAATTTTTGAAGCAAACAAAAGAACCAAAAATAAAACCGAAAAGAAACGCTTAACCCAAATTTCAGGTGAAACCCAAATGTTGCCTTTGATTATCAATATTCATCAAGAAAAATTATATTTCTATTTACCTTTTGTTCACAAATTAATGTGGCAAAACATTCAGGTTCCACTTTTTTTCGAGGTAAAGTTCATTAATCATGATGAACAAAGGCAAAAATTGCTCAGCAAATAGCATTCTCTAGTCAAATAAAAGTCCAGACAATTTGAGCAACCTTTTCCTTCTCATTGCAGATGTTGTCCGATGGCCTTTTGCTACTTGTCGGCCTTCTTGGTGGCATTTACCACAATCGATTGACTCAGTACATCTACGAGCGGACCTTTGCCGGTGCAAGTGGAGTCATTGATGCACGAATCAAACTTGAATATGAAAAAGAGCAACAGGTTAATTTGATTTTCATTTTTCATCCAAATCCAAGCAAAAACAGAAATCGAAAAAGTTTCCATCAAAATTGCAAACCAATTTCAGAAAATTTGAAGCAAAAATTTCGATTCAATTGAACCTTTAACTTGAACAGTTTGAGCAATTTAATGAGTTTCATGGTTCATCAGTATTTCACTTGACAGGAAACTTCACACTATTATATTCAAATCAATGGCTACAATTGAAACAATGAATAATGAAACAAATGAATCTGTTTAGTGTAAATGAAAATGCTAATCAATATTCAAGTCTAATCATCTTATTGTAATGTTCATTGAGAGTCTTTCCTGTTCAATATTTGAACCGAAAAGGCCGATTGAAACATCAATCATGTTTGAATTGAATTGAAATATTGATGATGAAAGCTCCTGAGGTGATGAAACAATCACAAAATAATTGCAAGCAATTAAAAGATTTCAGGATTCATCTGATAATCAGTTTGAAGAAAACTTTAAACTTGCACTTTGGGTAAACATTGAAATGGTTGTTCAATGTTCATATCATGTTACATGAACTGGGAATGTTTAATTTAATATGCAAGTTGGACAAACAGAATAAAGTGAAGTGAAATTTTTTCTCTTTTTTCAAACAAAA